TGTGTTTTTACAGTTTTTTTATTTGTAATTGTTTTTATGTATTTATTCTTTTTAATTGTTGCACGACACCCAGAGTTACCTTGTGGCAGCTATATAAATATGATAGATAGATAGATAGATAGATAGATAGATAGATAGATAGATAGATAGATAAAAAATGTATATATGCATCCTTTGCCCTTCCTCTTTCCTGAAATGTATAAATATCAGAACACCTCTTTTTTTCTGCAGGGGTGTCTCCCACTATCCCTTGATGGGATCCCCTCCAGTACATACTGTCTAATAAACACTGCAGTGAAGCCTTGATTATTTTGCTTTTGGGTCCTGTGTTGAATTCCACAATGGCATTCAATTTTTCCTCAGTTCAGTGCAAGATAACACCTTCACTGGTTGTTCAGAATAGAGTTCAGCAGGTATGGCTCACCTGATAGCCCAAGATCACGAGGAAGTTCAAGTGGTCTCCACGTATCCTCGAGTCCACAGAAAATTATACTGTGTCTCCACTGCTGATCCTTCTCCTGCTAAAGTGTGTTATCCTGAGTCTGCATGCACATCATGTAGTAATAAACCAAGTGACTCCTTGATTCCCCAAGTTTTGCTATTCTGCCACTTCCGCATGAATTCTCCACTTGGAGAAAACACATCCATTAATCATAATGCTGCAGAAAGAATGGAGTGTATCCGGCTACAGGATTTGAACATATGTTTCTACGTTCCTTCTTGTGCCCTCTCAGACCTCATTCTGCCACAATTCAAGTTAAGTATTATTTTTAAATTTTAAAAAGGGAGTGTCATTATTTAAGAATTTCCATTCCTTTCCTTATATAGCAACACGTGCTCAGTCTCAGACTCCTCCATGCTCCATTAGGAGGCAATAGAGAAAATGAGAGGTTATCCTGCCACTTCAATGTTACTCTGTTTCACTTTTACCCAATTTCCTTTTCATACCACTCCTCAGTTTCACCATTTAAGCTTTTGTTGTTGTTGCTGTTCAGTCGTTAAGTCGTGTCCGACTCTTTGTGACCCCATGAACCATATTGCACCAGGCCTTCCTGTCCTTCACTACCTCCCTGAGTTTGCTCAGTTTCATGCTCAATTTAAGCTTTGCACTAAGCCAGTAAGAGTTAAAGCACTAATTGAATTGCTGCCTGATAAGTCTAGCATTAAAGGGCAGTTCTGATAGACTTTGGGCACAAAGCTGTTGGTGGGCCCCAAATGGGTCATGAATGAGTAGTAATTCTCCAAAAAGTAGGAGGCATCTGCTAATAGAATTTCTCAGAGATTTCCCAGAGATTCCTTTCCCAGGCTTCTAGAAGCACGAGAATTATCACCCCCAGCCAAGTTAGAAATGAACCAAGTTCCCCGTAACAACTCATACAGCGGGTGTGCAGAACATATAAGGCTTAAATGTGGCTAGCTAGTTTGCAGCTGAGGTATCATATAAGCCCAGCTAGTAAGAGGTTCAGTGCATTGTTCAACTGGGTTAATTCAATAAACCAAGGTTTGGCTAACCATACACAAGCACATTATGACAACAAGAGGCATGGTGAGAAATTAAAAAGGCAGTGCCATCCAGCAACTAGATGCTACTCAGAGCAGCAGGGCAGAAACATTCCTTAAAGACTTCCCTTCTGAGTCAACAAAACAACAGTGAAAAGGTTTCCAGTCTACAGCAGCTACTCTAATAGTACAAGGTTGAGTAAAGTTTTGGTGATCATGGACTGCACTTAACTTTTTGGGGGAAAAGAAAGACCTTCTGAATATTTTGCACTACAATTCCAGGCAGATGAGCATTGGCTCATCTTGATTTGGGGTTTCCAGGAATTGTAATCCAAGACATCCAGAAGGCACTAGGTACCCCTCCAGTTTAATCTCCTAGTCAGAACTTCTAACTCTAAGGAAAATCAAGATAGAGACTAATAATCCAGTGCCATGTATAAAGCAAACAAAATGTGAAGTCACTTATTTGGGTAGCCTATTAGTCTGCACATGCCATTAGAAAAAATGCAAGGGAAAACTTTGTGATGAATTTATGCCATGAATTGCACTAATCTGAGATGCATAAAAGGACATTCTCCCACCCCGAAGAAACAGAATCTACTCCCTAATGCATTTATGATAACTGCAAAGGGTGGAGCTGAGGCTGAATAGTGCAAATACAGACCAATTCTTTTTTCCTTCACGAAATTCATTATCAGGTTTAACCTTTCTCTTCTCAAAACAGCACACACTCCAATAGGAACCCACTCCCCCAAGCCTTAGGGTCAAAGAGCCAACGATTCTCAGGCGCTGTTGCGTTCAATTCTCATCATCCTCGTCCAATGACACTCGCTGAGGCTGACGGACGCTGCCACCCTAACACCTCTGGAGGAACACAGGCTATCTGTTCGTCATCGCTGGAGTAAGACACGGTCGTGTCGCTTTTGTGACACGGGGTGGGAGAAAAAGTGCCTGGATGGGCCGCTTCAGTGCACTGATTTCAGAGGCCCTGCCTCCGGGAACGAAAATAAAAGTTTTACTAGACAGAACTAAAAGCAGGAAACACGACGACCACTAACCGCTATCTCTGTCTCCTCATTCTGGAGCCGAAGAAGCGGCCGCGCCTGGAGCAGCCCAACCAAACCCGCATCTTAGAGGAAGAAACCGGCTTAACTAAAGCCGGACCTGCGAGCTCAGGAAAGTGACTTTCCCGTTTCCTTTCGACGTGCTAACGACGATGTATGCCAGGGAAGTCAGAAGGAAAGAGGAAATCTTATCATTGCTCCGAAAGTGAGTAAAGATCCACAGGGCAAGGTAGTGCCAGCCTCTACCCACTTCCTCCACTGCCCTACCTTCGTGATTCCGCCTGGGCTTTCGCTTCGCTCCTTTACAGCTTAAAACGCTATACCGAAAGACTGGGTCCGCCTTTGTCTTTCCGGAAGAAGGAAAAGGAGGGGCAGAAGAAGGGACGAGACCAGCAAACCGAGTCTGAGAGGGAGGGAAAGGAAAAACAGGACAAAACGCTGGGGTCCGGCTGAGGCAGGAAGGGGAGCGATCGCGCACGTTGCCCGCCTGTGGATGGTTAACTTCGTGCCCTGCAGAGGCTCCTCCTTTTCTTCTACTTCCAGTGCCCCTGCACAGACGGAAATGCTTTAGGTCTAAAATTAGGGCATGGGCATTCTGAGACCACGGCACTTGTCATTCAAGGAAGGTTGCATATGCTCCTGTCACACCCTGATTTCTTCATGCATGAGAGTACCTAGTTGCCCATAGCGTCCAGGATTGAGTTTTGCTTAATGAAACGTGAGTCATATTCTCACTTTTTTGTTACACATTCTGGAAGTTCCTGTTAAGATATTGGCAACGATAGAAACCAATTGACTTAGAGGCAGTCTGTTTCAGAAATAAAAATGAGATGCATTAAGGTATATAGTCACCACATCCTTTCAGTTTAAAATATTTCATTTTTCAGTGGAAAAGGATGAAAGTTAGAGCCTTGAGATCAAGTATGTATCATCCTGACTTCATGACTTTTACATGGTATCCATATGAAACCATCAAATAACAGACAATGTCTGTCAGCACTGAGTACACTCTAACAATTACAGATCTTACCATTTTGGCTCTGTCATAATGGAAAAAAAGGCGGGGGGGGGGATTAAGACACAAATATTCTTGATTTGTATAGTTTTATCCAGCCAACAACAAATCACAAAACACATTTGTCTACATGCCATGGCACATTGCAATCACAGGTCTGATATTTCCCCCCCTCCCCAGTGCAAAAATTTGAATCCAAGGTTGTATCCTCTTGATTTCATGCAACTGTTGTATGGGATCTTTATCATTTTTGATTGATTGATTGATTATGTGCCAGCAAGTCAGTGTTGATTCTTAGCAACTACATAGCTAGATTTTCTCCATAATGATCTGTCCCTAACTTGGTCTTTCAGGTCTTTCAAAAGTGCACTCATCACCACTGTAACTGAGCCCATCACCTTTCTGCTGGTCATCCTCTTCTTTCCTTTCCTTCTACCTTTCCCAACATTAAAGCCTTTTCTAGAAAGATAGGTCTTCACATAATGTGTACGATTATTTGAGCCTTGTCACTTGTGCTTCAAACTATTGTCAAATCAGAGTACATATTTGCTTACATGAAATGATCTATTACAGTCACATATTCAACCATTTATGATGCAAAAACATGATTTGAGGTCATATCCTCTGCAGATCAAAATTTGTTTTAATGGATCTATATGAAATGATTGTTATATCATGGAACACATTTATCTGCATGCTGTGAGCATTGTTCGGCTAGATTCAACCATTTCTGATCCCACAAAAGTTTGAATTCAAGGCAAAAATCTTCAGGTATCTGCTTGATTTGTGCATGAGATCCAGCTGCAGCCACTACAAAAATACAGATACTAGCCTTGAGCCAGCCATCATAATCACAGATATGAGGATTTTTGGCATCACCATAGTACAAAGAACTTAGATTTGGGATACAGATAATCAAGGATGATTTTTACCTGGTCATGAAACATGGTCAAACCTGGGTAGAGATAAAAATCATAGATTTATTAAATATTGGCGCTAATATACAGTAATGCAAAACCAACAGATGGAATTATGGATCTGTGGCATGAATTCTCACCCACAGATCCAAATGAATCTGTAAATCCACGGTTACAAATGAAACTGACAAACATTGCATTCTGTACTTCATGGAATAATCACAAGCCAAAAATATAGATGCTTTGCATAGATTCTCAAGCATCCACACAAGTATTTTTTATTTAACTGTGTCTTTCTAGTGCTTATGTATGATTCAGAGCAATTGACAATGTATTATTCCCAATCTAAAATCACTGAATAAATCATAAAGTCACCGAACCTGTGTTTCATGAAGACACTATCATGGAAAATATGGATCTAGGCCATAGGAAATATGGAACTGGATCCCTCTACATTTATGCAGGGATTAACTCAAGGTGATAACAGATCCATACATGTAGATGCAGGTAAAATATGAAGTCAGTGATTTACTGTGCCACTATTGCACAGATGTCATACAGATGAGGAAATTACAGAAATCACATCTAATATTTCTTTTATTACTTTATTTTATAATTTCACTATTTTACTGTATTTTATGGCATTCCATATGTTATGACCAATGGTTACAACAATAAATTATTTACTTACATAGAGATGAGGAAATAACTGTCATGGAAACTTCCGAAGAACAGAACACAGCACTGAGGAGAAATTGCCAACTGTTTATTCAACCATCATTGGGCCCCAATTTTTGAAGAAAAAGGAACCCCAAACAATGAAAAACATTTTTTTAATAGATGTTGAGGGCTACAGAGTGGGAAATCCTAAGGTTCTGATTTATTGGAAAATTTGGGGGAAGCTAGGTAAGTCCTTGACTTTGTGCCTGGGGTTATTTATGTTGTTAGGCAAAACCATCCTTTGAGGAGCAGGAGCAGCACCAGGGAAACCTGAACATTAAAATAACAAACTTGAAACTCATCCCTCCATTTTGACACAAAACATGGCACTGAACTATGATTTTTAGGTGCTGATTTCTGTGACAAAGTGTTGTATTGTTAAAAAGAATGTATCTGTGGTTTTGTGATATCACCATGTTTCAAAAACAAGTAGAGGAAGCACACATATCTAAAGATCTCCTGGTTTTTACTGAAAACATTGGCAAGTTTCCACGTCTGCCCACAGTAATTTACATATGGAAAAATACACAACTACAGGTAGTCCTTGACTTATGACCACAATTGGGACTGGAACTTCCATTGCTAAATGATGCAGCTGTTGAGTGAGTCATGCCTGATTTTATGACCTTTCTTGCCATGCTTGTTAAGCGAATCACAGCAGTTGTTAAGCAAATTGGACTTCTCCCATTGACATAGCTTGTTGGAAGCCCCCTGGGAAGGTTGCAAATGATGATCATATGACCCTAGGATGCTGCAACCGTTGTAAATTCATGCTGGTTGACAAGTGCACAAATTTTGATCATGTGACCATGGGGACACTGCGATGATCATAAGTGTGAGGACTGGTTGTAAGTCACTTTTTTCAGTGCTGTGGTAACTTCAGACCATTGTTAAGCAAATGGTTATAAGTCAAGGACTACCTGTAATTTTGAAATTCCATTTCTATAAATTTCTTTAGGATTGTAGACTTTCTTGATTTAAAACAGACATAGCCAAATTAATACCAGCTAATGTAGTGGAAATAAGAACAAAGAATAGCCCTTATGGATCTTCTCTTTTAACAGACACATAGAGATAAACAGCATCTCCGTACTATTGTACTATTCGAAAGAGACAAAAGACCAGAAGATCACCTCATCAGCAATCAATCA